TGCAAGGCCCTCAGCCTCTGCTGGTTGCAATCCTTATTCTCTCAAAACAAGATCCATCCACATGGCAAATAGCTCAGAGCGTCACCGCAATCAAAGCCAGAAATACTATTCAGAGGATGTTATTCAGAAAGATAGTAAATCTCAGACTAACAGCTTTACAGCTTCTGCCATAAGTCAGTATAGCCTATTTATAACTTCACACTTGTTCCTCATGAATTACGGTAATTAAGTTGAAACCAGTGTCCCTTGATTTGGTAGAGCTCGTCTGGGTTACAGAGAAGGTTCTAGACGTTAGTCTGAAGAACATGAGGGGCTGAGGAATTTTTAGAGCGCCTGGGCAGAGAGAAATGTGTTGAGTAAAAGGAAAGAAACCATGTTAAGAGTGTCCAAGAGCCCCGTTTCGAGAACAGTACTTAGTTTATTGTTCTTATCTAGAGCAGGTTACCACCAACTGCCACGACCGCTGCTCCTAAGTGACAATCCAAGTCCTGCTGGGGCTGGAAGCGCCAAAGGAGATTTCTCTCGCTATTGCTACACGTGAAGAAAAGCTTTCTTCCTCCAGGAAGGAAGCACGTTGTTCTTCATTTGCAACCCGGGACCGGGCCCTTTCAGTAGGAAAGAAAGCCACTCTCTGGGTTTCCCCACTTCTGTTAAGAGCAGATGCTAAGCAAGGCAGAACCGGGAAACAATAAATTCTACTTGCCTCATGCCATAGCTCGGGAGATGCATCGTGTAGTAATGAAATAATCTTGAAGAGAGAGAAAACAGTAGATGTAGATCAAGATTTGAGTCTAAACAAAGGGCAAAGGGGAGAGTCAGTGGTGGGTATATTTTCCAAGTAATGCTAACTGAAAACATTTTTAACTTACTTTCACGGCATGCACCTTTCTCTGAAAGATCGTTCAATAACTCAATGAGAATTTTCTTTAAAATCACACATACCTATACTTGCACCCAGAGATGTGTTAAGCTCTGTGGCGAGCGTTCTGCCTACGGCGCCCGTGCTGAGGAATAGG